AAAGGTAACCGACTCAAAAAGGTTAGAAAAGGGTTGATGGTGTTTGGATAGCGAGAATGAAAGCCTTCATCATCCCAATCAGAGAACATTAATGCGACAAGACTCTAGAGTTTTTATTCCTTTTTTGTAGGGGGTGGGGATGGGGATGGGTAACTGGATTGGGAGACAATAATTAAATATCAAAGAAAGAAAAAAGAAAATGTTTCCCCCTTTTTATCGAGATGTATATAATTGAAATCAAACTGCAAACTACATGTCTATCTCCCGCTTATAGATGAATATCGAGTTAAGAAATTTTAGGTGACCTAGGGGTTGTTGGGATCCCAAAAACATGATAAAAGGTAGATCAACAATGTGTATGGAGAGTTCGTTTACTTTTAAAAATCCTGATATCATGAGAAACAGAGAAAGGAAGTAAAGTTTGCCACATGGTCTGGTTTAATATTTTCTTATTATGCCTAGTGGTAGCTTGTGGGATCATACAGAAAAGTTGGATAAAAATTGAAATACGAATTATCATGTTCATTTGGAGTTCTATCAGTTGGTTGATATGGAAATTTGGAACAGAGTTGTAGAATTCAGAGGTAAAAATTTGGGGTCAAGGAAGGGTTGAATCACATTGGTAATGATTTCACTTCCATTTTTTGCGGAGGCCATGGTCTCCATTTGCTCCTCCCGTCTTTTGCCCTTATTTGAAAAAGTCCATATCCATGGGGGAGTACGACTATGAGTGACTCCAAATAGCTACTTTGAGTTCCTTGACTTGAGCTTACATGCAGCGCAAGAGGAAATCTCGCAGAGCTGGTTCTCATTCAACACTTTCCTTGTTAAGGAAGGAACTGCGAGAAGGAAATTTGCAATCTCTTTTTGGAGGGTCTTCTTGTTTAGTTTCCTCAACTAGTGCTGCACCAGACCCCTTGCTGTCATCATTCATTTTGCCAATGGCTGATGATTTCAAGAGTGCTCAAACGCATTCTCCTGCTGAAACAATCTCAGCCAAGAAAAGCTCAATAGTAACTACGTCTGAAAGGTATGTATTTTATCCTTGTCTGTGCTCTGGTTACAGTAGCTCCTTATAAACACTTGTATAGAGCTGCTATCAACATGCATAATTAACTGCAAAATACTAAAAGTTCTCCCAAAAGAACATGTTTGCTCAATTAATTATTTGTAATGGGTATTGCTCCTCGGTAAAATAAAGCTCTAAGTGCAAGAGGACCCAAATGTTTGAGTTTCGACTTTGACACCTCACCCTTAGTGGTAGCTTTAGAATAGAAATCAGCTATGGTACTTGTGGAAAGATTGTGTGCGAACTGTGAAAGCGCTAAGGATGTGCAGTGCGAATATTCACGAGTCCCAAGCTTTTTTTCTTCAACCTTTTTTGACTTGGTTCTTTTGATGCAATTAATTCCACAATATTTCTTACGAAGTAGAAGAAAGATCAAGACTCTTAATTTGGTTATACAATTTGGTGTGGTACCGGGTACTAGCTTCTTTATCTTTCCTAAGCGGCCACAACTGGAACGTGCGTTGGTTGCTTATCTGCTTCTGGAAGCCTGAAAATAGAGGTCAACCAAGCCACTTGTAGAAAGATTGTGGGCGACACCCCTAATTGTTGGGGAAAGCACCGTGGGTGCTTGGAGTTTCCCTTTGTTCCAAGCTGTTTGTCATCAAACTTTTTTGACTAGGTACAGATATTGCAACTAGTTTCATGTTTTTGAAAAGAAGAAAGACACGCAATGTAACATTAATTTGTTTAGGCAAAATATATAAATGGCCTGTTAAGTTGTCCAACTGCCTATTAAGTGCGTCAAGAAAAC